TCACGATAAGAAGAAACCACGAGCACTTCACAGCTGGCAATGGCGAGCTTTGACATGCCGGTCGGGAAAAGGTCCCTCGTGGCTATGCTGCGCACTCTCACGATGGCCACTGGGCCTAATCGCGAGTGTTAGGGCAAACCACGTACGCGTAGACCTACGGCAGGTGCGGCTCGGCGTGGTACGACCACTTCAAGCACTAGGCACCGCTGTGGGCTTAGCGTACGGTACCGAAGCTAGCACACAAGTAAACACGCCTGCCGAGTTGCCAAAGGCCACCCCTGGCAGGCTACAGTCCGGCGATTTCCAAAGGGGACGCGGACGAAAGAAACACGTGCTTACTCTGCGCCGACCATGGAAGAAAGAGAGCCCCCTTGGCGCGCAAGTATCACGTGCCACCCCTGTACGTGGCGCCATCTATCGCCACGCACCGTTACCAGAGCAGGAAGAGCGAATGGGTGCGGTCATGCGGCGGAATGCCCGCGAAATGGTCGCGGGCGCGCCTCAGATCCTGACATGCTTCACGGAACTCATCAACATTCATTGCGTGGATATGCTGGGATTTTTTGCCGTTGGTGTCATGTCCCAGATATATGTAAGTATATAGTAATATAAGGCGCAAAGAAAAATAAAACAAGAAAAAATTTCAAGGTGCACATTGGAGACTCGAACCAGCTACTCCTTGCTGTTCAGTACGCTGCATTAACCAACTAGGTCTCACCGCTGATACTGTTCATCTTACTGTCAGCGAGGTATGTATATACACTACTTACCAGTGGCTTGCCCCGGTATTCCTAAGTGCTGCTTGACTTGAACTTGACTTGAAACCCCCTCCTATGAAGCACATTTTAAATGCATCTGTATGCTTGTGCTGCCTTGGCATCGTTTGAAGACAGTGCGTTCGAAACGCATTTGTGCTGCATTGAAGTCGGTGGCAAGTCAAATTCAAGTCAAGTAGGGTTTCTGAATGTTGGGGTTACTGTCAGTGGACTTGAAAGAAACATTCTTGATCTAAGCATGTGCTTTGGACAAGCCATATATGCTCCCCCTAAACACTTATTTGTCCGATGAATAGATCAATGGAGGGGTGGGTTCACTGAAGCACATACAGTTGGATGAAAGGGGCATTCTAATATTGAATATTTACCTTTCGTTGAGAAGATGAAGAGAAAGAAGCTGTCAAAAAGAATGCGTGAACTCTTAAAAAGAAGAAAAAGAAGAAAGCATCCGCCATGAAGTGTTTCTAATTGGTATGTGTAAATAATGTAAATATAGTCTTGTTTCTTCAAAGCAGTGACCAGTTATTTCACAAAGTGTTGCCGAAACCCACCCGGAGTACTCACCAGGACGATACATGCTACCAGTGCTCATCGGGAACTTTTGAACGGACAGTACATCGGGAGGATAGCGGCAGCCTTAGAAGAAAGCTAGAAAAGAAATCCTGAAGGAACATATGCCACTTCTTGTCGCCGTGACAGCAAACAGACCAGTCGATTGAAGTGAGCATGGTCACGCATTTTTGAAGCAAGATTAATTGCGTCAGAGGCCTGAAAGAAAAGCGAACGGCACGACAACAGAATAATACGCATCTCATCAATGAAGCCAAGGCCGTGATGGAAAGGGCTTACAGTGCAAAGATTTTATCTTTGAATAAACGGCTACAAGGCAACAGCGCAGATTTGGATAACGTTAACGCCGAGCTGGAAGAGCTTATTCCAGCTTATTCTAGAGGATAAGTTCGCTACAGAGTTTGAAGCTGTGTTGACATATCAAGACGCTGCGCTAGAAATGCTGGGACAGCTGAAGGCTCGGGAGTAACAATGGCGTCAAAGCTATTGTCCTACGATATCCCAGTCTCTACCTGCAGGGCCATCCCAGATGCCCAAGGATTGCACACCGCGCAAGGAAATCAAGCTTTTCACACTCCAGCTGCAGACATTTGACGGACAGCTCCATCACTGGCCTTCATTTCAGGAGCACTTTAGGACATCTACAATCTTTGAAAGCTGTTGGATTATGTGCAGTGTCACATCAGAAGTCTGAAAGGATTAAACATCAGTCCTGCCAGTTATGCAACTATGATGATGGTTTTGTTGGAGGCATTGCCAACAGACATCGTCGTTGGCTATTGCCAGAAAGAAGCCAACCTAAGTTTACCACCATCTACAACAGACAATGCAGGCTCGGGACAACAGCATGACTCATCATCGACAGCCACAGCCGAGAAGGAGTTGCAAGAACTCTTGACGTATCTTCGGGCAGAAGTTGAAAGCCGCAAAAAAAAAGAAGGGAAGCTCATCACTTCAAAAGAAAGAAAAGCGCCCGTACACCCGAAGAGGAAAGGAACTTGAACGCCACTCTACCAAGAGCAGCGGTCTTGCAGTGTTCGTCGAAAGCTAAGGATAAAGACTGTCTGTTTTCTGAGTCTACAAAGCAAGCTACTCCAGTTTGTGACAGCAGTATCACCAATGAAGAAATGTTGAAGAAATTGGCTGCCAAGAAGCGATGTTATGGATGCACCTAAAGGAGCCATCTAGCCAAGGACTGCTACAGAAAAGTCAAGTGTGGAACATGTGGAGGTAGACATGTTTCTTCAGTGTGTGATCCCAAGTGGAAACCGTAAAAGAAAGAACACGAAGGCTCCGTAACCGCAAACAGTCCGCATACCAGCCTTCATTCGTATGAAGAATCCGATGTCTTCTTGCAAACATTTAGGGCATGGGTCATGAGAAAAACGCAAAAGGCCTATATTCGTGGCATTGTGGACAGCGGAAGCCAGTGTACATTTATTCGTGAAGATGTATCCAAGACGCTTGGATTAAAATGACTTGGATAGATTAATCTCGAGATAAATATATTTGGACAGACACGTTCCCTTCTGAGACATTGCGCCATCGAACTGAAACTTAGCAGTCAGTATGACACCTAGGAGTACCTGTTAAATGCCATTGAAGTACCATTCCTCTGCAAGGATGTTGTGCAAGTACCAGTCGATCATGACTTTGTCAGAGACATCAAAATCTGCGGTCATCTCCTTGCTGATAAATTGGTGATACCGGCCATGGCTTCAGTTCCAGGAATCGGCCTATTAATCGGTGCTGATCAACTTGGGCAATTCATGTCGGTAGGGACGAAGCGGTACCATGGACAGAAAAGCTTGGTGGTTATGGGTTCTGCTTTTGGATGGATGTTGCAAGGCCCACTCTCTTTTGACGCCCCTTTGAAATCAGCTCTCAACGTATGCGTCTTTCGACTAGGTACGACTGCCTCTACCGACGAGGTTCTACGAAGGTTCAGGAACTTGGAGAGCATCGGGATTATGCCAGCCGACAACACTCCTACCAAAGAAAAAAAATACGGTAAAAGAAAGATTTGAACAGGACATTACCTTCTTCAATGATTGCTATCAAGTCGCGCCTCTTTGGAAAAAAAGTTGGGGACAACTAGATGGTAACCGAATGTAAGCAATGAAGCGACTGAAGTGTCTGGGAAAGAAAATCAAGAACAATCCGGAGTTTGCTGAGGAATATGAGGCTATGACGACCTATCCAGCTTCTGTACCTGATAGAACTGTCTTCGATGTAATGAACTCAAAGTGCGCAACTTTGCGGTGGGCAGAGGATATTGAATATTTACCTTTTGATGAGAAGATTAAGAGAAAGAAGCCGTCGAAAAGAACGCGTGAACTCTGAAAAAAGAAGAAAAAGAAGAAAGCGTCCGTCATGAAGGGTTTCTGACTACTATGTGTAAATACTATAAATATAGTGTTGTTTCTTCAAATGCCATGACCAGTTATTTCACACTAAAATATCTCTGGTTCCATCTTTAAAGTATTGTCACACGATAACCCTAAATCACGCACAGCACACCGCTTCGTCTTGCCACTCTCCACCACCATGCCGAACTCCCCTTTTCCCACACACGCAACCCCCACAACTCCCTCGTCCCGATGATGATGATGATGATGCCATCATGTAGTGCCCTTTCTCGGCCAAGTCCCGATGATGATGATGATGGTGCCGTCACGTAATGCCCTCTCTCGGCCACCCTCACAGTATCTGGAAATACTTCTTGCATCAAGTTCAGGACTATTCGGAAAGTTGCTGATCCTGTCGTGCCTGTGAGTTTAGTTCCCATCGAAACGCGCACCACCATTATCACTTTAGACAGACCAACTCAGCTCGCTGCCTCAGATGAGTTGTGGTGACGCATGCCTCAAAACATTGCACGCCTTTGTCGTCAAAACAGTGTACATCTCACCAGGAACGTTGGAGACTGACGTCATCTTGCTGCACAACTTCCGTGCAGTGTGCCTACAGGATGTGCCGATGGTAGTCACTTGAGATTTCAACGTCAATGTACTTGTGAAAATCAGTGGTTTGTCGTGTTTCTCGATGCTGAAATTGGACTTCGCCTCCTGTCGGATGTCACGCAGTCAAGTGTTTACAACAAAACCTGTTTAGACATTGCGGTTACTTCAAATACTGAATCCAAACATAATCGACCATCTTCACTACATTTTGTTTGGTTCCTAAATTTTTTAGCCTTACTTCGTATAACATCTCGATATGTTGCTGTCACATTAATTGCTTTGGCCTTGCACCCAAGCTGTGACGTTTTTTGCACAGCATTTTATCTTCCAGAAGGACACGTACGTTCGCACTAGCGTGCTGGTGTAATGACGCCCTTTTGGATATCAGGGCAACTGAGCGGGCATGGGTATAGTACTACTGGTATCGGAACATCTGCTTAATCATCGAATAAATCCCAGCCGTGTTTTGTCTTGTAGTTTCATACTGTCATCTGTGGTTGTGAATAAACTTTTAAGCACGGTCGGAGTCCTCACCATGTGAGACGATTCACAAGGTGGGGTCCAAGGCCATGTCAGCAGCCTAGCTTGTGTAGTGAACAGTGTGTCGTTGAAGCGGTGTCATTCGGGATCGCCTTAAGTATTGACGACTTTTTTCTGGAAAAATAACTTACGTAATCTCTGAGACACGCAGGTGCGACCGGAGACCGGTGAAGTGGTGGTGCGGGAACCCAGCGGGCTGCAGGGCCTGTACCGCTTGTTGGTGTCCGTCACCGACGGTCGGTCCGAGACTGCCACCCTAGTCCTGGTGTCTGTCGGGCGGGCCAACGTGGGCCACCTGCGCTTTGCACAACCGCTCTGGGAGGCTGCTGTGTGCGAGAATGAACCGCCAAAGCAGCGCGTGCTTTTGCTGTCTCTGCTGGGAGCAGCTGTTGGGGAGCCCGTGCACTTCTCGCTGCTCACCCCTAGTGAGTATTTTGCTGTGGGCCTCCACTCAGGCCTGGTGCGCTGCCTGGCACCGCTGGACCGGGAAAAGCGGGCTCTCTACGAGCTGGCACTGGAGGCACGCTCTGCTCTGGCGGTGGCCCACGCCATGCTACGGGTGCACGTGAAGGACGCCAATGACAATGCACCCATTTTCGTCAACCGGCCTTACTACTCAGTCATCACAGTCAGTGCACAGCCTGGAGATCTCGTCTTAAAGGTGTGTACACAACCATAAGTGGACAAAGTAGAACCTAAATATTGAACAATTCCAAACACGGTGCTCTAAGAATCGCAAGTATAGGATTTACTCTCACAATTTGTGCACTTTTTTCGCTATTTTAGGGCCCTGAAAAGGAGGTGCACAATTTATGCAGGGATTACACAAATGCATATTAAATAATGTACAAAAGTCTTTAGTATATATATTAAAAAAAAGATGAATGAGAGCATGAACGAAGCGTACTTGTTTCTTTAACAAAATTAGCATGTACTTTAAACAGTCAGGTTGGGTCACGCGCGGTCTAGTCTGAATCACTTATTGAGAGGTCTGATTAGGAACTGAAGAAATTATCGTCGCAGTCGCTGTCATCGCCTTCCCAAAGACTGTCCTGGGTTTCACCGGGCGCATTCGAATGCTCCAGTTTCTTGCAGCTCTTCTCAACCCTGGGAAAAACACAGCGATACCGGATGACCAAAGCATTCGTGCAATATTGAAAAGGCTTTCTCCAATGGCAGGAAACTTGTCTTAGCAAGCGTGCAGCTTTCTGGCCTACCGATTGCGTCGATTGTCACATGTTGAAGAACTTCACACTGTAGTGCTTGGGGGTGGCACAATTTCCATTTTCTTTGGCAGACCTTATCACAGCAGTCTTGAATTTCGTCGTGTACAACCGATGCCCGAAATTCCGGATATACCTAATTTCCCGGACTCATCTGTGGCACCTTGAAGTTCTACATAGGGTCTGTGTACTTAAAGGTCCGAAATTTTGGACAGGTATAGCCTTTGGCATCCGATTTTCCGGACTTTTTCCACAAACCACAGACTTGAAGTGATCATGAACACCGCCAATTTGATTGTTTTTGTACCCTCAAATCCACTATACTTCGCGCAACTCCGCGCCGCAGCGCCGGTATACACGAAACTGCAATCGTAGCAATCTAGCGCACGCCAATTCCTTGCCAGCCGTAGCTCAGTTAAATCTGTGGTCAAACTGCATTTGTTCACGTGTTCTGTCAGCTCTGCGGTAGATTGTGTGCTGCAGCACGCTATCTTCAGCGTTCACATTTACCAATTTTCAGCATTCACCAAGTTTCTAGCTGTTTGGCGCTGCATTTTTCGTTAAGCGTATTCGCCGACACGGCCGTCTCGCCCGGAGTGGACAGCATGTGTGATGAACTTCCATCAGCGGACGTAGCCTTTGATGATCTGCGCGTTGCTGGCATTTCGATTACAGCCAGCATAACTTGGAGGGCTTTGCCGACGCTGCGATGGCCTCGAGCTGTGTGCCGAATTGACAGATAACGAAACCAATTGTCAAGTTTGAAGTATTTTGACAACTCTAATGCCGAGATCGAAGAGGCAGCGCCTATACAGCCAACGAGCTCAGAATTGACGCGAGCATCGATGACACTGCCATCTGTGATATAGAGACTGAGGTTAGGTCCTTTATAACCATGCGTGTGGCAGAGAGTGAAAACAGAAGGAACCTGTTCAGGCCGACGGCAGGAGCAGAACTGAGCTTTAATTTCTTTCTATCGCGGAGCACGCTGCACGAGGAACAAAGCGTAGAGGCGTGCACATGCGCCTGAGCATGCCAAAATGATTAGGCGGCCAATGATGATGATGGCCACTAGAGGGCTCCTCCTATTAAGAATGGAAGTGATAGACTGGTCTCCAAGAAACAGTCTTAGGGGTCAGGCGATTGGGTGGGACCTGCGTTTTAGCGGTGGCAAAGAAGTTCAAAGTACATGTTTCCGGCTCTATTGCTGGGTGGGCAGGTTTCACTCTGTCAATCGCCACGACCTTTTTACGTCCATTGAGCTCGATGGTGACTTTTTTCTGTCCGATTGAACGCTTTGAATGGGCCGTCATATGGATGGGTAAGGAAAGGTCGGATACCTTCACACCTGGCGAAAACATGGCTCGTTGTGGCCAAGTCCTTGCTGACAAAAACATTGGTTGACAATGCCTCGCAACTGGGGCAAGGACGCAAGCATGAGAAAAAGGAAGCAGTGCTGTTCCATGTAACTGTCCGGATCGGGTGTTGTGACAGTACCTGGCTAAAAAAAATTCCCCAGGCGTACGCAGCGTTGTACCATAGACCAACTCCACAGCTGTGCAGCCGAGGTCTTCTTTGAAAGACGAGCGCACGCTAAGCAGTACAAGAGGAAGGTGTTCAGTCGAAAATGAAAGAGCTTGACTAGCCATCAAAGTGGCTTTAAGTTGGCGGTGAAGGTGTTCAACCATTCCATTCGCCAATAGGTGGTATGCGGTAGTATGGATATGGCGGACTCCGAGCAGGCCTGTCTTTTCGCGAAAGAGATCGCATTCAAACTGTCGGCCGTGATCGGTGCTTACTACGCTGGGGCATCTAAAATGTGAGATCCAACCACAGACGAACGTTGGAGCTACAGTAAATGCTGTTATGTTGGCGAGAGGAAAAGCTTCGGGCCAGTGGGTATAACGGTGCACACAGGTGAGGATGTAGCGAGTACCTCGAGACGGTGAGAGTGGGCTGACGATGTCGATATGAAAGTGATCAAGCCGAGCATCGGGTGGGCGAAAGGACTGAATTGGCGTTTTCGTGTGTCGGGTCATCTTGCTGCATTGACAGTTGAGACGTTCCCGTGCCTAACGCCGTACATTGGAGTTCACACTCGGCCACACAAAGCACGTCGCAATGAGACGTTGAGTAGCACGAACTCCGGGGTGACTGGCGCCTTGGAGCTCTTTGAATATGTCATGGCGAAGGTGGAGAGGGACAAATGGTCGAGTTTGACCTCGTGACACGTCGCAAGCTACGGTGCCCGGTAAAAATAGAAGGTGAACGTCAGTCAGCGTCAGCAATGTGGGGGATGAGCGGATGTCTCGAAGTTCAACAACTGTAAGTTGCGCCACAGTGATTTCTTCGTAGTCGTGTGTGGGTGCTGATATGGCATCGATACGGGAGAGGGCACTTGCAGCCGCTCTGACTGGGCCTTCAATGTATCAAATGTCCACGGTGAATTCGGAGATTAAGTTGTGGTGTCCTATTTCTCTTGCGGTATTAGTGTCATGATTACCGTGAAAAGCGAATTTCGAAGGCTTGTGGTTCATGAGGACGTGAAAGCTTGAGCTCTCCAGTAGGTGTCGGAAGTGTCAAATGGCTAAGTATACCGCTCACAACCAAATGTGCTGTAGCGCGTTTCTGCAGGTTTTAGTTTCTGTGAGAAAAACACAAGTAGATACCAAGAGTTGCGTTTGTGGGGATCTGAGGCGCGCCTGCGACCATTTCACGGGCATTCCGCCACACGGCCACACCCTTTTGCTTTCCTGCTCTATTAACACCACGTGGCGATAGATGGCGCCACGTGCGGGCACGGCACGCGGTACGCGCGCGTCGAGGGAGCGGTCTCTCTTCTCCGTGGTCGGCGCCAGGTAAGCACGTGTTTTCCTTCGTCCGCGTCCCCTTTGGGAATCGCCGGACTGTAGCCTGCCTGGGGTGGCCTTGGGCACCTCGGCAGGCGTGTTTACTTGAGTGCTAGCTTCGGTAGCGTACGCTAAGCCCACAGCGGTGCCTAGTGCTTGAAGTGGTCGTACCACACCGGGCCGCACTTGCCGTAGGCCTACGCGTACGAGGTTTGCCCTAACACTCGCGACCAGGCCCATTGGCCATCGTGAGAGTGCGCAGCATAGCCGCGAGGGACCTTTTCCCGACCGGCATGTCAAAGCTCGCCATTGCCAGCTGCGACGTGCTCGTGGTTTTTCCCTTATTGTGAATGTCCGCGTGCGGGTGCCTTTGCTACCCGCGTCCCGGGAGCGAACGTTGTACTGTTGTGCGGGGTGCCGCCAGAGGCAATAAAGTGTTGTGTACTTTTGCATTAGAACACTGTCTATTTGCCGCGCCGCACTAAACGCCTTATTAGTTGAGCGCGCGCGGAGCGGTACACTACACGCGAGTAAACGGAGTAGCGGCCCTGTGGCTCGCTAAGCGTGAACCCGCGGTGATCGTCCGCTGCAGTTAGTAGCGGGGTCACCATACGTTGCAACTGCTGTAACATGGCGCCGACAGCCACGCCACATGCATCCGCGCCGCAGCGCCCGTATACACGAAACTGCAATCGTAGCAATCTAGCGCACGCCAATTCGTTGCCAGCCATAGCTCAGTCAAATCTGTGGTCAAACAGCATTTGTTTATGTGTTATTCTGTCAGCTCTGTGGTAGATTGTGTGCTGCTGCGCGCTGAAGATAGCGCGCAGCAGCACACATGTTCGTGTCACCACATTATAGGGACCGAGGTTAGGTCCTTTCAGCGCGCAAAAGTACTCATGTTCGGGTCACCACATTATAGGGACCAAGGTTAGGTCCTTTGTAACCATAAGACGAATTGGTGCAACATGCAGAGGATGCACCTGCAGTTTGGTGTCTGCCAGTGCGTTTTTGGTGGCTTGGAAGGACTATTTGACATCAGGCGTTCATGTCTAGAGGGATGGCAGAGCTTTTGTGGTTTTGAGTAGGTCGGTGAGCTGTATGATTATGCGGGCGATGTTGGGAAGAAACCGGCGGTGGAAGTTAAACAGCCTAAGGAACTCGCAGAGTTTTCGGATAGATGTAGGGCGAGGGAAGTCACTTAGGGCTTTAATTCTTGTCCAATGATGTGATGCCCTCGCTAGTTACACAATGTCCGAGGAACTCGATGTCTTCGACACCAAAGACACACTTCAAGGGGTTGATGAAAAGGCCGTGTTCCTGGAGCCGAGAAAATAGGAGGCGCAATTGGTTGCAATGCTGTTTCGGGACAAACACTTGCTACCAGGAGGTCGTCAAGATACGCGAATATGAAAGGTAATCTAATCACATTGATAAACCTCTGGAACGTCTGAGCAGCATTTCTCAATTCGAACGGCATGCAAATGTACTCGAAAAGCCCAAATGGTGTCATAGTTGCAGTCTTGGGAATGTCCGCAGGCTCAACTGGAATCTGGTCGTAGGCCTTGGCCAAGTCTATTTTGCTGAAT